CATCAAGGTACAGTCTCGGCGTGATGGAGATGACTGAGTGACACTTGCTTAAGTAAATTCTTTTACGTTCATGCTATTTCACCCCCTTCTTAAATTTTATTTAAATAACCTTGGCGTTTAGATAGATTTTTAATCAATAAAACTCACTCAATTCCCGTTTATCTTGTTCTTGCTGTTCACTGGACACAAACCCTCTACAGGTAAAAGCGCGTTACTACCGAGAAATGCGTAAATTCATTGGCATACCGACACTTTTTCGCGGATTAAGTGAGTTCCCGTCTGGACCGGGAAATACTCCAAACACAGAGGAGGCTGGAACTGGTTTGATCTTTCCACAGATTATTATCAATCAGGCATCGGGTTTACGTGTGTGTTATCGAAAGGCAGAACTCCTATTCACCCGACTAGAAGCTACATTGGAACCGTTTCGCGAATGGGTTGTTCTGGGACATCTGAATCTGGACGACCTGGTGGACTCACATTGTCGCGAGTTGGTCGATTTTGAGCGCAATTTCAAGGTAAACCATTTCTACGTTCGCAATTCTGATCCGAATTCTTCTCTTGATTGGACTGGTGATTCTCATGGCAATGCCTATCGAGTCTTCTGTTTGAACAGTTGAATAAAATCTTTGCGTGACTGATACAAATAAAGCTGTTTGAACAAGTTTATTGCTAATTTTAACCTTTGTGAAAGCCTTCGCTAGACTTCAATCAGCGACAACCCCTATTGCGTTACCTAATGGCTAAATCAAAACGTATTAGAGCGTGACTGAAAAGATAACATTATTCTACATAGACTTGAGTCAAAAGGAACTGATTTTGACTTTCTTCCTACCCAGCAGTATTCTGTTCAAATGCATAATCGAATTAGAGGCCTTATCGATATTCGTGCACGCCAAATTTTTTGGTATTTATCTGCATGATTTGAATGAGTGGTAATTTCTTTATTATGTCCAACTGCCTAATTGGGTATCGGAATTTTACGTCTTGACCTCACTGGTTATGGTGGTGGTGTGGGGACCCACGATATCCAAGAAACTTTCAAGGTCATCTGGTGAAAATAGAAGGACTAGTGTTGAGTTTGAAAATAAAGCGGTGAATGGTACGAATATTCGTGTAGAACGAAACTTTTTAGTGCAAATGTTGTAAGAGTCTTTTTTTGATGGATATTCTTACTTTCTTTTCAAATAATTCCGCTGAAATTTTGAAGCAGAATATTTTGAGCAGTGCCATTATTGCTCAAGCTGATGCCGCACTGCGTATCTCACGTCCGGTAGCTCAGTAAAGTAAGTGTTGTAGTTACCATGACTTCACACATTTCGACGCGAAATCATCCGAGCATCTCAAAGTTTAAGTTGATTTAGCTACCCCCGAACGGCCCCAACCGAATCATTACTGATATCCCTTTGCTTTTGCGAAGACGATATTATCAAAGCAACAGTAACATAGAGAGTCGTATACGAGAACTCCTGGAAAAAGATATACCTAACGAGTTAACCAATAATATGGTATATGAAATGCCGAAAAGGCTTTTGCATGTGCTCAAAAACAAGCGAGCTTACATAGAATACCGAAAGTGTTTCCATTTGCAATGTGTTTCGCATGTACCATAACAAATTTTAACCGTACATTTTCGTTATTGCTTGTGATGCATCTAGTTCAGATTAGCCTCATTGTGCGGGTGACAAGAAGTGATGAATGAACTGACACAGATTAAGATATTATAATAATTATTTTTCACACTCCTGGAAATCCGTCCCCAGCGGATTGCGGCTTTCAGACACCTCTCCGCTGTTTTGCGGGTTAGGCTTCGGCTGGCTGAATTCCTGAAGAAAATGTATCTGATTGGTCCTGTTCGATCTAGCAATATCCCGCCCACTAGAAGGTCATGGACTTTAATTTAAGATATACGTCATGAAAATATAAACTAACACCGAGAAGAAGAGTATGGTAAATGGCATCTTGGTATATTGAATATGAAAAGAACAGTGGACGTGGGCCCGGAATCTAAGTAAATAATTATGACGGAAAAAATAAAAGCTGGGTGTTTGCACCGGTTTTCGTCAACCCTGTATTGTAAGTGAAACTATATGGATCCCTATCGAGCTCGTTGTTCGCCAAATCGTGTGACCGTGTTTTTGGTTTGACTCAATAATTTTATTATTAATTCAAAGGAACGAATACACTGAAGTGGCCAGAAACAAAAGTAGGTATCGCTTTATCAGTCGCTCTAGGTTATCGGTATATCTGTATCCTAACCCAAACAGTCAAACAAAGTAAATTGTGTCTACGAACAACTTAGTTGATTTTATTTTTGGTAAATATGTTATGTTTTATTTAAGAACAAATTTTATGGTTTCAACCTCCATCACGTTGTTACAGGGACTAAAGACACGCGGCAGGGATGCAGAAAAGTTACCGAACGAGATTCGCATCGACTGTATCACAGTGAATTGTGTCCCGATCAAAATGGCCATCGAGGGATTGCTACAGAACTTGTTTGAAGCGTTGCAAATATGCCTTAGACGCTCCATTCAAGGTGACCTGGTGGCGGCTGATGCATTTCTGACCGGTAAGTGGTGATCACGTGAGGAGATTTCTGAGTGATCTTTCAGAAGTGAAGGCAGAAAAGAAGTTTGCTTTTTCTTGGTCAAACACGGTAGTCATTCAACTTTCGGCTGAAAGAAAAGCCAAGTCATTAGGTGATGGCATGGCATGGTGTAAGTCGAGATTTTGATTACTGAATACGTTGAGTAGTGATATAAGTTGGTCAGTGATACCATATGTAAAATCCATCGGTTACATACAAGATTAACATGACAATCATAAACCGTGACTTGCAGTAATATTTGTCCACATATCCTGACAACAGGATTGCGCGGGTTTTGTATTTAATCTACCAGGAGCATTGGTAAGTACGGTGCGTCGCTCGTTACTATCGCTCCGCCTATCGGCAGCGTTTACCGGCGGGGACACACCAAGGCACTTGAACTTGATCCGCAACTTAATCACCATCACCAGAGTTGTATCAACCGTGTNCGTGTCAGCGACTTTCTCTCTCAGCAGTCGACTTAACACATGTCATGTATTGGAAAGCGTTGTTCAGGTCTACAGAGGTTCACGTATGGTTTGAGCGTGCCGACATGTTCTCACGTGACCTGTGCTCCCACCTGCATACGCTTGGCTAGCACAAAAACGGTACAGTGGCTTGGACCGCATTATCAATTAAACTGCACCAAGGTGACTTGACCCCCGCGTATGAAACCATGCCAACTTCAAATTTTGCAAGTCTAGTTGTCCGAATATCCTTTCAAGCTGTCTCCTCAACCTCATCGGCGCTGACAAGCCTCCCAGCGATGTCTGGATGATTACCATGCAGCACAGATTTCTCTACCTCCCGTTGAAGTGTTGGGCCATGATTGTAAGACGTGCCTCGGCCACACTCGCCCCAATTTCCATGACATACATATTGGTTGTTTATCTTGCTAGTACTCATACGCGTCTCTCTCTCTGTTTGCGTGTGTTCAAAAATTGGAATGTTTTCAAAAATACATTTTTCTGAGTATGAACTTGGAATTTGATAATCTTTGTCACTGAAATCATCTAGTCCTACTAAAATACTTCCACCACACGGAGTAAACTGGGTGAACTAAGGTTGACCTATGGCATTCACTAATATTAAATGCAAACTGGCTTCGGACAATCGTATTGCCAAGTAAAGCTAGCCGAATACCGGAAGGTGCGCGTAACTTATGGAGACAGCCCCATTACTCAGTTCAGTTTCACAATGGGAACACCACCGTGATCGTTCTTACAATAATGGTTACCGAAGCCACTACCAATAAGAAATTGTGAAATGTTCGATAACTTAGTACGCCTTAGGAGAACAGAACACCTTTTCTACGTAATGTAGATCGGCGCTACATAAACTAGGTCGGAGATAAACATAACAAGAAAGACCATGTTTTTTGTTCCACTGTCTACCTCTTTGTGCTACTGAAATAAATGAAACACAAGTGAAAATCCAGTCGGATTAATGTAGAAGGTCGCTCGATCGCAAATAGTTTCACTTTCCGTGCTTGACACTTGGCAACATTAAGTACCTTGTACACATGTTTCAGTGTAATGCTTTTGCCATTAAGGACAGTTTTTCACATCTACAAATTGTAGATGCTCTGGATAAGCTGTCCCAACGTCCACAAACAGTCGATGAACTCAGTGAGGCCAAAGCTCGTCAGAATGAGTTTGCCAAGTCTCGTAATCGTCTTGTGGAACAGTTGACCTGTGCAGAAGCCAAAGATCGACTGTTACGCAGTGTGGCCGGTAACGGTGTCTCGGCTGTCGGTACAACAAAGGCGAAATGGGAGAAATTTCAAATGATGATGGAAAGTTTCCGACTGATGATGGACGAACAGTTGGAGGTACGACTTCATCGCATTCATGGATCGTACGTATGTTTACTAACATCACGCACTACTTTTGGCGTCACCATGGTCTAAATAAGAACAGCGTTTTGTGGAGTGTTAGACTGAATTCTGCTCGGTTCAGCTTCAATACTCAACGCTGTATCAGGTTTTATCTGAATGACCCGACAAAATTCTCCGGGAAGCACAGGTCCAGTTTAAAATGTTTTGTTCATCTCTCGTAGCTTGTCGGAAGAATGACTCCCAAAGATGCAACTCAGACACTTGTGACGAGTTACCTATCGGGGGCATGAGTATATGAACGATTTGACACCATACTGGATACGCACAAATGCTGAATGGCAAACAAACCTGCAGTTTCTGGGGAAATTTGTCCAAATAATTTAATGCTAATTAAATGTCATAAAATAATCCGAAATAGAGCATGCGATAGATTTAGCTGAAGCTAACTGGTAAAACAAACGTAGAATGGGCAAAATGATTCCCGCAGACTTCTCAGTCGCCAGTTGTCTAACAAATGGATTCCAGTGATTCAATTTTGTGACGAACATGTACCGGTTTGCTACTTTGGCTTAAAGAATTCCCTATTCTATGCTATCGAACTATGTCATAAGGTGATTGCGTTTGGAGTTGGCACGGACAGGTTATACTGAATCCCACCTACTAGCGATAGTGTTTCAAACAGATTGTTGCAAGCATCTCTTGTTTTTCATAGATGTTAAAATAAAGCTTTTCCGTTGCGGTCACTTTATAGGTTATGAAATCAAATGTACAGGCTCGCACAACCGCCTACTTTACTGCCCTGGAGAAATTCATCAGTCGTTGGAATCAGTTTAAACCAGGTCGCGAATTGTTGGACTGTGGAGACCATGAATCTTGCAAAGAAGCAGTTCGCCTAGTCAGAGAACGCCAAGCTGAGTTTCGAGATCTGGAGGCATCTCGAGCGAGTCTAATGTATGTTTATCGCTTCCTCTTTTTCTCCGTTGCTCAAGATTATGAAATCGTGTTCTTTTTGTGTAATTTTATGGTTATACTACTATCCCAAAGTCGGTTTACTTTCGAGTGTTTGTGCCAGTGCTCCGATAGAATCAAATGTACGGTGCGATTGATTCATCGTGTACCATCGTCTCGTGCCTCTCACCCGTGACCTTAAACAAGCAAATTCCCTTTTGAACCTTTCTGTGAACTGATTAGATCATCTGCGACGCCTAGACACCCTCGCCCCGACACGAGGCCGTCTGATTACCGTGTTGTAATTTTGTAATGCTTTTGTTGTTACGTCCAGTCCATCCGTGTGCTGATGACACACCTGCTGCACAGTCGAGGTTCAGTTGGCCTGCCTGGGACTCACGGCTGTAAACAAGGTGTGTTTTCTCGCTCGGGTTAGCTGGGCAAGCAACATTAAGCATACAATTACGTGCGAGGCTTTTGGTTGCTGTCTTTTGACTGCCCGTTTGGGTGACCAAAGGGAGCAAAACAAGATGGTTGAAAGCCGGATAGAAGAGAAAATCCAAACGTTCACGGGACTGATGAAACAGAGAATTTGAGAAGATGCATGAAAACCACTGTATCCGACACACTGACATATCACTCAGTCTCTCTAACCATCGAGTACGACCATTCCGAGGTCCCCGTCCAGGGAGTCTAACGGGACCTATGCGACCCAGACTCCTGGTTAGTGTTTTCACACCCTC